TGTACTCCATGTGTAGTAGTTTGATTCATGTTTTATGTGTGATCTAGTTTAGATTATGTTTCATATGTAGTATAACTTACGCATATATTATGTTTTATGTTCTTCATATATCATGCATAATTCTTTCCATTTCTTAAATACATGAAAATTAAATTAAAAGAGAGAGAGAGAGAGAAGGGTAAACTCTCACTTGTAGGCTCTCCTCATGAATATTTTAATAAACATATTATCTAAAAGTTTAATTAGTTCAAAATCTTTCAAAGAATTTCAAATTAACTTAAGAAAATAAAATTAAAATAATTTAGAAAACTTTAAACAAACTTGAAAATGGTCTAAAAATAATTCAAAATAATTTAAAGCCAGTTTAAAATTTACATAAAATTAAATTTAATATAATTAAAAAGTAATTTTAAACTAATTAAAAATAATCTAAAAAAACAAATTTTAAAAACACTTAAGAAACAATTTAAGAATAATTTAAAAATAAGTTAAAATGATTTAAGATGACTTAAAGAATAATAATACTTCTTTAAATAATTTAAAAATATTTTAAAAATAAATTAAAAATATTTTTAAAACTCTTTATAAGTAATTTAAAAACTTAAAAATATTTTGAGATAACTTAAACCAAATACTTTAAATACCTAAAACACCAAAGTCGGATAACTTAAACACTTAAACTAAATAACCAAAATTAATTTCAAAAAGCTAAACTAAATAACCTTAACATAACTAAAATATTAAAATTAATTTCAAGTAAGCTAATCAAAAACAACTTAAAAGATTTAAACTTCCAAAATAAATCTTGTAAAACTCAAGCAATTCAAAATCTTTTAACCATTTGAAGCTTTAAAAATTTTTGAATCATGTAAGCTTGTGGGTGACATAGAAATATAACAAGGAGAACAAAACTTAAAAATAAAATTAAATGGAAGAGAATATCCTACGAAAAAAAAGCAAAGCAAAACTTTAAACTTATAAGAACTTTGATTTTCATCATGATGGAAAAACTAGAAATCAAAACAGATTACGAATTAAGTATTAAATCCCAAAATAAATTAAAACTCACCAATTCTAAATCAAGCAAACAAAATCTAGGTAAATCAACTTTGAAACCTTAGGTTAGTCAACGTAAAAACAAAACTGAAGGCCACACACACTCTAGATTAGTCTAGTTTAGATGTGTGGGTTAGTTTAATGGGTATTCATAGCTAGTACTAAGGACTATAATATAAAATAAAAAGTGTTACCCCTGAAACTATGCAGGTGGTGTCGTAGGATGAAGTAACCCATGCTTAGAGATGAATGCACAACTAACTACCTTTAGCTAAGAAATTTTTCATTTGTTATCATTATAATGCTAAGTGGAGATCTTTTGGACTATAAGACTAGTTTATAGTTGAAGGAGAAAAAAGCACTTGAGATGATAAAAATCATGATCATCTTGACCAGGGGTATTATTCACAAATTTTAGGCTAGTCCGCTCATTTAGATTCCTTGTAGATTTTAGGCTTATGCCAAAATTATGATTTTCACCTCTATCTAAAAATCTTTTCTACCCGACTCTACTCCATTTAAGAATCCTTCCAACTCAAAGACCAAACTTTCAAATCAATTTTCCCAATTCAAGCCTCTAAACTTAACATTTCCAATCAACCATCCTCAATCAATCAAACTCGTTCAACTCTTCTTAAATGCTTTGATTTCAGTATAACTTTAACTAAAAAAACTTTAATAACCATGAAGTCTAAGTCTTGTACGTCAACCTTTCACCCTGGGATGGTCAAATCCCATTTCTTAAGTGTTTTTGTGACACACTGTCATTGGATTATGCCTCAATTCTGTGCTAAATTGCTTCTAAATTATAAACTTGGATCCATTCATTAAGTTTGAAATCTCTTTTTTTGAAATGTTCAACCTTGAAATCCGAGTAACATGAGTCAATTTTTTAATTTCATAGCTCTGGAAATGCAATTAACCATAAGGGTTTTTCCTTGTAGGGATACCAGACCCCATAATAATATAAACTTTATTTCAAACCCGTAAAATAGAGAAAATCTCTAGTTCGCGTAAACTCATATATTGAAGATTTTCATCATTCGAATAATTAGGGTTTATGTGAAAGTAATATTTCTTCTTTGTGAGATGACATATTATTCTTTAAACTGTGGTATCCGACCATTTAGATAGAAATCTTTTAAGATCTATGATGAACATAATTCAACTAAAAATAAAAATATTTCTCCATTGAATCACATCGTTGGAAAAAATATATTTAATAGATGTTCCGCAAATCCACTCTTTTTGTGCAATTAGAGAGAAATTGAGAGAAGTTGAGGGGACAGTGATGGTATATCCACTCTCTCTCTCTCTCTCTCTCTCTCTCTCTCTCTCTCTCTCTCTCTGACATCATCCTCTTCCTCTTCCACACCATTCTATTTCTCTAATTACTCGTTGAGTAACATCAACTTAATATTTTTTCAAGCTATTATGGGTAATGCATTTCTTTTGTGGAGCACGAAACACAAAGGACGAACACACTTCCTAATATCATTTAGTTATGATAAAATATAACTACCATTTGATGCGGTGTATATTTAATTGATTCATAAGATCAGGCCATTAGCTGATTTCAATGTACTTGATTTGCATAATTAGGCCATTTTATGCGGCATCTATTTAGTTGACACATAATATGACTCAACGAAGTTTTCCCAATCTCAGAGTAAAATTCTACACTCGAGAAATTGTGTTCTTCCGGCAAGATCTCCTACATAGGATGCGCCGTTCATCTTCGATTCCACCTTCGTCAGAGGAAACCACTTATCCATTTGAACATGTAAGATTAACTTTTAACTACTCCATTAGGGATTCACAGAAAAGCTTCTCTTAGAGAACTAATGCAATGTTTCCTTGCAGCATGTTGTGACCATCACTCATCAAAGCCACCACTGCCCACTTACACCATCCATGCAGCCTACATATGGAACTATAACCATTGCCTTCAGCTCTACCCGACCACACACACCGTATCTTCTATCATATTTTACATGACTGATTTTTCTTTTTTAACTATGTATGAGATCAAATATTTGATTTGTTATTATTTTTTGCAGATTGTTTTGGGTGATAGGAGTGAGAAGAAGGTGTTCAAATACACAGGAATAACATGAATCAACCCTGGATCCTTATCCAGTGACAGCACTTTTGTAGCATATCGGCCCTGCACACAGGAATTTGCAAAGCTCAGGAGCATCTTAACATGGCTCTTCTCTTTTGATCACCAGCCTCTGATAGTTATATTTAAATAATGAGAGTAATTGAGCTGGAAGTTTCATGCTTTGGATTCCCGTTTATCGTAGCTTCGGTCAGGTGTTGGCGACTACGTGGATATATGGGATGCAGAAAGCTTGGATTATTTTGTGTTGGCGAAGCCTGACAACTGCACTAGTGGCATGTTGAGGAAAAGATTTTTATGCTAAAAGCTCGAGAAGTTCCCAACAAGATGGAATGTTAAGTTATTACGCTGATTATCGGTTATGACTTTGAGGTTTCACATCGAAACATCTTTGACGTTTATCAAACTCTAGTTAGGGGACGTAGTGTTAGAATCCAGAAAAGATTTCCTGTCCGGACTCCTGACGTAACTCTACATGCAGATTCCAATAATATGCCGCCACATGTGCTATTTCGTCGAGGTTATATCAGGATTTTTGAAGCGGAACCACGGATGTTATTTCGAGGTTATTGAACAGAAACCTATATATGTCACTTCAATAACCCACCTCGAAATAACTTCAGCGGTTTCACTTCAATAACTGTGAAATAACATCACAGAGATTATTTTGGGATTATTTCTGGGTTATTGCGGAGTTCACGATTCCACTTTAATATTTTTTAGGTGGGCCCGATATAGCACACATGACGTTATATTACTAAGAATCCGCATGTAAAGCTACGTATATTTTTTAGGTGGGCCCGATATAACACACATGACGTTATATTACTAAGAGTCCGCATGTAGAGCTACGTCCGGGGTCTGGATAGAAAATTTTCTCCAAAATCGATGCCTCTGCATGTTAATCTTTGCAGTTGTTTATTAGGAAGCTAATTTTTTATCTTAACCAAATTACGTACTTTTATTATGTTAAAATAATTCTGTGAATACAAGTGGACGCATAATATGACCTATTTTTCCATAGCATTAAAATTACTAAAATAAAACAGGCAGATGGTTGTTTGATGTTGTTTTGCTTTTCAGTAGGATGAGCCTTTTCAGATATTTTGAAATTCTTTATTATATTTTCTATGCTGCACATTTGAGCACGATAAGGTTGCATTCAATTAATTATAGCAAAGTTTGATCATGATAGGGTTGAATTCAGTTCATTATAGCAAAGTTTGCTACAAAATATAAAATTTAAAGTTTTGAATTGCATTGACTATTAACCTCTAAACTTTATGATTTCACTTGAGGCATACATTCATCCATTTTTTCAATTACTTGTTAATACTAATTACTGAACCGGCTAGAGTAAATCACATCACATTTATGTTCCATATGGTATAAAGAATTTATAAAGTTTAATGATATGTTTTTTTTTTATTTTTATTTTATATATAAAAGTAACTGCCGCAGCATGCCTAGTATAATCAGTACAATAATAAGTCACCAAATCAAATAATCAATGACCGAAAAATTATATA